TTGACCTCGGCCCATGCCCCTGTAACGTTCACCGCTTGGAAGTACATGTCCGCACAATGCCCACCCAATCGGCGCGCGTCGGCCTGCAACCGAAGCAATGCGCTGTCAGCGCTCATTCCACGAGGGATGTTTATCAGAACGTGAATGCCCGCCTTCATCAGATCGAACCGCTCGCCATGAGCGTTTTGGAGGTGGGGGTCGCCAGTGGCAGCCACGCCTCCAGCGGACCCGGCCGCGGGAGCCGTGGGGGGAAACGTCGGCTGCGGCGTCGGCCAACCCTGGGGATACGTCGGGCTGGGCGTCGGGCTGGGCGTCGGGAAAGGCGTCGGGTATGCTGTGGGGGAGGCTGTCGGGCTGGGCGTCGGGCTGGGCGTCGGGAAAGGCGTCGGGAAGGCCGTCGGGAACGGCGTCGGGTAGGCCGTCGGGAAAAGCGTCGGGTAGGCCGTCGGGAAAGGCGTCGGGCTGGGCGTCGGGAAGGCCGTCGGGAATGGCGTCGGGTAGGCCGTCGGGAAAGGCGTCGGGTAGGCCGTCGGGAATGGCGTCGGGTAGGCCGTCGGGAAAGGCGTTGGGTAGGGCGTCGGGTTGGGTGTCCCCCCCCGAAGTTGTACCGATAAGCTCCGTGCTGCGAGCAACCTCCGATTTTGGGCGACCCTGACTTGTAGGGCAAATAAAAACCGCTTGCCGAACCGGAAGGAGAGCCCCACGAACTCCCACCACCCGTTTGGTGACTGTAATCAATGGTGCTGCCGCTGCTGTAAACCTGCCAGCCTGAATTCCCATTCACACCATTGGTGCACTCGATAGCGAAACCACCAGTCGTGCACATAGTTCCCTCCTGGTCGTTACCAGAGATTGTCAAATAATTCCCATCAGGGGTGAACGTGACAGTCTTGGTTGCCTCCCAGACGGCCCAATTTCCGCTGGTGCTGAGGGCAATGCTGCCCAAATATACACCGTATACATAGTTGTCGATTGTAAAGTAGCACGTGACGGAACTCTTGTTCGTCACAAGCTGCGTCTGGCCCACCGCGGCCAACTGCATAAGGTTGGAATCGACGTCGTCCTCATGGTGCCTGGCTGCTACGAGGAGCGCGAAGACGACTTGTGCCGCGCGATCAGCAGTCCGATCTGCACCCTTGCATGGAAATAGGCGCTGCGATGACCAAAGGATGTGTGTCCTGTACTGCTTCCCCTGATGGAAAACAGCTCGAGCCCATGGTGGCCGTGGGCCAACGCAACTGTCCGCTATGGGCACATCAAAGTGTACTTTCGTTGGCTTCGGCTAGCTCTGCGCTGGCGGAAATGAAGGACGGAAAGAACAAGTAGCAATGAAGGGGGTCCCTTCGGGGCAGCTATGAGACGCAGCTCCGAAGAACGCAACGAGCCTATGTGAAGACGGATGTGTTTTCGTACAGACAACGCTTGAGGCAGGACTCCGGTCGAGCTTTACGATGTGGACCCCAACCTTGGACGAGCAGAGCAAGTGGGCCCGATTATCCTGTCCCAACCCCCTCTGCCTAAATGTGATGGCTACAAGAGGGGTGATCCGTGGCTTGGTGCACGTTCCCATCCGCCAGTCCCTTGGGGCCCTCGGTCCTGCGAGGGTGATGTGCCCCCCTTTTTTCCGGCCGCCGAATGCTCGAACATTTCTGGCGTCTGTGGCACACCGGATTGGCGGCGAAGCGCTGGGGTGAAAGCCTGAGGAGACTGCCTTCTCAGAAGGCTCGGAAGTCCCCCTGGCCTTCCGAGAAGAAGTCGTCTGAGCCTTCCCCGAGCGCACAGGAAGACCTCTCAGAAGGCGCGAGGGCTTCTGAGGAGTGCCGCCGCCTTCCGAGAAGGCCTTCTCCTTCTCGCTTCCCCCCCCGTGCCCGCCGCCGACCGAGGCTGCGCTGGTCGACGAACGCGGGACAACGCCAGGCCGAAGAACGCTCCACTGCCACTCCAGGTTTCGCATCCTCCGAGTGGTGAGGGGCCCTGGCACATGCGAAGATACCGCGCAGTCTCAGGTCGGGCACGTCCTCCTGCAGGCGCATTGTGCGCATTGCGCAAGACGAATCAAACATGGCCAAACAACTACCGCAAACATAAAACAACGTACCATTGTTTGCCTAGGTTTGGAGATTCCTCCTGTGGAGGGACGTGCCCGACTCGAGCATCATCGCGTTCCCGAGAGGCCACGGCCCCCGGTGCAGCGCGCCCCGCCGGCATCCCCGAGGCGCAAGGGCCCTGTGGTGTACCGCGGGCCCATGCTCCACACGCCACACCCCCTGGCAAACGGATGCAAGCTCGATGGGCCGATTCTCCACCCCCACTACCACAGGTAGGCGAGGGAGGAGGAGGAGGAGGAGGAGGAGGAGGAGGAGGAGGAGGAGGAGGAGGACCTCCCCATCCCCGTCCCAGCCGTGGAAGAAGTGGTGGAACAGCGGCCCATCAAAGTTCGCGCTCCCGAAGCCGCAGCCCCTGCTTTGCGTCCGTCCCCGAAGCCGTAATCGCTTGCAGATAGCGACGAGGTCGCCCTTTCGGCGCCAACAACAACGTGGTACATTCCTTGCAAATATTGGCGCGCTCGCGCTCCCGAGGGCACAACCGTTTCAAACCACCTGGGGCAAGGTTGCCCCTTCGAAACCACAATGCCTTTCAAATCACGGCGCGCTCGCGTTCCCGAGGCCATTGCCGCGCGCTCGCGTTTCCGAAGCCTCTCATCTTTAGGCAACCTACCATGCCGTAACATCTGGCTCTCGAGGTACAACATCTGTGCAGAGTCGTCGATGTTAGATAAGGATCTCCTGTGCATTGGTTGTGCATTGGCCTACGGTAGGCCTATGCATAGCCTGCGCATAGGCCTACCTGTGCTTCGCCCGATAGGCCCTGCAATACCATATACGTAGGCCTATTCCTCCTCTGCCTCCTCCGCCTCCTCCTCGCCGCCTCCTCCTGCCCCTTCTGCTCGCCCTCGTCTTCCTACTCGACCTCGTCGTCGAGGGCATGATGAAGCAAAACACCCTGACTTGGCCCTCCCAGTTCTCGAACAGTGTTGGCAGAAGCGGAGCCTCCACGAGTTTGATACTGAGCTTACTTCGTCGCCCCTGCTGCTGGCCGCTGGGAAAGAGAGTACGGAACATAACTACTAAACCAGCAGGGCATGTGCCTACGCACGCGCGCACAGGTTGTACGCAAAAAGCTGCCGGACAAGCACCATACAGACGATCTGATCGGTCCGTTCGGCGCCGTGGGCCTGGCTGGGCCTGGGTCCACAGACGACGCGGGCGTAGTCTTCCAAGAGAGATGGAGCCGACCTTTGCAGGGTGGCACCCGGGACACCACCACGAGATCAGCCTCGTTGTGACAGTAGGGGCTCGACAACAGGGAAACTTCCACAAGAAACTCAACCCTAATACCCCAAGTCGTGCATTGGTTTTTGGTGAGGGAACGTCGCGCCTTCTATGGCAAAAAATCATCGAAGCCCAAGAAAACCAGGGCACCCCGGAGGCAAGCGGGGTGTCTCTTGGCATGGGTTTCCACTGTGACCCCGCGTGCTGCTTGACTGCTGTCGCGAGG